AAAATTAACCTACAAGTATATATTTATTTATTTCATATGTAAACAAAATTTACCATTGATATTGTTACTATTACCAACCTTTGAACTATTTATATTTATATTAGATATAATTATTACTCTCACCAATCAATTTTATAGTTGATATTATTACTCTTAGTCTCTTACCAACCTTTAAATAATTTATATCGAGAAATGCACGCTCAAATATGGAGATTGTTCGTACTATGTGTGTGTTGGGGGGAGGGGGGGGGGATATTAAAGAGTAATACACTACAACTCATGTTCAGTTTTACTTTTTTATTGAACGAAAGTTCGATCAGTAAATGTTTTGTGTTTTGGAATAACTTTGTGTATTATGCTTTTGTTATGAACTTTTGTATATTTGGTAAGATTGTATTAAAAAATGACATTTTCGATAGTTTTCGCAATTTATGGATTTTTTATGTTTATGAGCAAAACATACTGACTTAAAAATTTAAATTATATGTCCAAACAAAACTTTAACTTCATCTTATAATATTTCGTATTATAGTTTTATCTCACGTGATTAAGCGGAAAGTACACTTAATTTTAAAATTCTTCGTTTCTTGCTTTTCAATAAAGTAATTTGGAGTTGTTACCATTTGTATTTGGACAAATCATTTGAAAATCACACCGTTTTTGTTAGCAGTAGAAAAATAATTTGTGTTCTGTCAATTTTTTTCAAAAAGTTCTTTTTTTAGTGATAATTAAGGAAAGAACACATACATCTATTACTTTACAAATAATACTATTCAAAAAGAAAAAGAAAAATATTTTAATTCATTTACATTTTAATACTTATCTAAAAATAAAAATAGTCTTAATTATTTTTATTAGATACTTAAGCTTATGTAATAAGAATACTACTTCTTTAATTTTGTTTGGAAATTGGTAAGATTTGCTAATATAATATAAAGAGTTGGGAAAAGGTCATGGTAAGAAAACTAAAGACGGAGAAGGAATAATATTTTAATGACTGATTTCTCCTTTGGAACAGGTAAAAATAATTTACGCTTCTTTATTTTTGTTTTAAAATCAAATTTCTCCCCTTAACTATGAATAATAGATATTTTCTCCCCTTTATTCTATGTTATATGCATATTTTATCCTCGCTATTTTCAATCTTTCATCTATATAATATTTATTTATTTATTTATTTTGATCTAAGTATTTATAGATTTTTATTTAAGTTCATTAATATTATAAGTAGAATATTTTTTATTAATATCAATTTGTCACAAAATTAATGTATTATTTATGATTATTATTTTAGTATTAAATGTATTAAATATCTATATAGATGCATGTTTTCGTTCTCTTATTCTCTAATGTCTATATAGATAAATGATTTTTGATTATTGTCAATAATAAAATATTTTTAAATTAAAAATTTACTTACAATATAAATAGATAATATTTCAAACATTTGTTATAAAATATATCCCTAAATTGTTATAAATGAATATTTAAATTTTGATTATTTATTAAAATATAAACTTTTTACTCTGTTTATTATTTTATTATAGAACACTATTAACTTATACATTCACTTAGTATATTTTTTACTTATTTTTTCAATAGAAAAAAATATTTAATTTTTATATATAAAATTTGTTACATAGATTAAAAAATAAAAATTCATGATTTTAAATAAGTAAAAAGAGAAGACAAAGGTTGTCACGACTGAAAGTACACCCTAGACGTGACATGCCGCATAGGACCCCGAGAGGCCCTACACAAGCCACTTAGCATACATCATACAAGATAAAATAGAAAATCAAGAGATTTTATAAGACAGTTCAAATCATAAGAGTTGACAAAATGTAGCAGAAGTCTAACATAGTCTCAAAGTCATCTAGTACATCAAGAGTGATTGGGACGTAACACATGCATCACATACAATACGAAAAGGTAAAGACAATAAGCAATAACGGGTTCGGTCCTCGGCACATGAGGACTCACCAATCTTCGAATCTAGTAAAGTGCCCACTAGCCATAGAGATGCGGAGTGGGAATGTCAGACCCTACATTAGTGAAACAATGTAGGCAAAAGCATGTGTTAGCACAAGGAATGTACTAAGTATGAGGGGAATGCAATAAAACATGAGACATGATCATAAAAGGACATAATTGAAACATGGAATACAAGACCAAGTTAAAACATAGTAAAATCATTAAGAAGATTCATAAATCACGAACATGGTCAATGCATCTTTAAATCATAAGGGAAGCTTCATAAAACATTAGAAATCAACTTAGTTCTTTTTGTGGGAAGTTTAGCGTTAACCGACATATAGACCATGCAAGCTATAACATGGAATCCAGTGTCTGCCTCACACCGAAAATGGGTGTCATACTTGCCAAGGTAAGGACCATGATCTTCTAGCTTACGTGGATCCACTAACTAATGTCTATCTAAGGCAATCATCGTTTATCTAAGACAATCATCCCATAGTGGCACATAGGTATGTGATAGGGAGATTGCTACTAGAAACCCGACCTCTAGCTATGGGAGAGCTTCCATCTCATTATCCTCTCGGTACTAAGCATAAATCCCACGAAATAGTTATTAATCTTAACTTATCTTATCATTAAGAGACATGGGTAATCGCCGCTTGTCATATCATCCATGGAAAGGCACAATTAAACAACCAATCCAAGCTAAAAACATCATAGAGTAGCTCAAGGGTATACACAACCTAAAATATTAATGGTAAGGGTATGAATAGCCCTAAAGTATAACGAAGGATACTGTCATACCATTTATAATAGTTCGGGGGTATATTTTTGTCATTTTCCCCTTTAAATTAAATTAATACGTGTCACAAAATGATTGATGCGTGATAACAATTGTTTTAAAAAGGGCAAACCCATCGGTGGCCACCTAAAGTTGGCACTAATTTTCACTTAGACACCTTAACTAAGCTTCGTTCATTTTAGACACCTCATGTCCTGTCTTGTTGTGTCAATTTGACACTTTCTGCTGAGATGGCATAGCAAGTGTGATACACTTACTGGACGCGCGTGAGAGCCTCATTTTACCAAATTTTAATTTTTTTTCTTCTTCTTCTTCCCCATTTTTTTGGCTACCATTTTCCAAGCTTAAACTCTTGCCATGGTGAAATAAATTTGACGATGCCACAAACAAAAAGTGAATTCTAGCGCCCATAAATTTTAAGCTTAAGTACTTTCACTTATTTTGTTGTCCTTCTTCCTCCTCAAAATAATTTGAGAAAATCAACATAAATTTCAAGAAGAAAAAAACACACTCAGAAATGGCAAGAAATCATATTTTCAATTATCAAATCCTACATTCACAACAAACAATTTTAGCGTTCCAATCCATTTGTATGCCTTCTCACATCATAATCACAGAAAAAGTCCAAATCAAGTAGATAAGCTATATAATTTTTAGTAGAAAGTTTGGGACTCCATATTTATGTACCAAAGAACCAATTTTTGACTTGCATTGACCCAGAAATCCAAAAAAAAAAGAAAAAAAAAAACCCCCCAAAAAGGTCAAGCAAATGCATTACCACATTCACCAAATCAAGCATTCAAACATCAATCTATTAGAAGAAAGACGTTCTTATCTCACAACATTCACAAAGTGACAAAAACAAATAAAAAAAAAATCTGGGTGAGAGAGAGGGGTTGGGGTTTGAGGTGGGCGTGGGTAGTAGAGAAGACAATTCGGGGTGGTGTGCGTATGATTTTCTTTTTATTAAAAGTGGTTTTTTTTTTAATTATTTAGTTAAAGAAATGCCACATGTCAATGAGTCATTGGTAGTTTTTTTCCTACTCAAGATTCATCATTTAATTATTATTATTTCTATATATGCCACGTCTCTTTATTTAATTCGTCACTTTGACACGTCATCAGCAAGTGTGTTACACACCTTACAAATTAGGCAGATTGTCGAAAAAGTGTCAAACTGACACAATTGAGGATGACATGAGGTGTCTAAAATGAACAAAGCCTAGTTAAGGTGTCTAAGTGAAAAATGATGCCAACTTTAGGTGGCCACCGATGGGTTTGGCCTTTTAAAAAATTTAGGATTTATGTGATATCATTTCAAAATTGTTTAGGGGTAATAGAATGTCATCATAGTTAAAGTGTTTTTTTTTTAAAATTCGTGATAACTTCATATGTTACTTTATGTCTTTTCTCTAATTAGTTTACAATACATATAGTCATGTTTTATTTACATAAAATATAGCGAAAAGTCATAAGAAGCATACACTGATTATACATTATAGCTTGTCAAAAGTCGTAAAATGTAAACACGGAATATAACATATAGCGTACCTACATAAGAGCTATACACTAACTATATATTATAATACACTCAAAAATCTGAATATAGTTAACTATATATGAAGTATACATTGACTATTTAATCTCAATTAATTCGAAATCACCTCTAAACAGTCCCAAATTTTAGAAATGAACTCCTCTCGTTGTTTTGAATCTTCTGATATATAATACACTCGAATCGATTCACATTTATGCTACGTCGAATTTTTTTCTAAAAAAATGGAAGTAGCCGCAAGAAACAACAGCACAGTATGAAGAAAAAGAAGAAATAGGACCAAGAAGAAGAAGCAAGAAGCAGGCCAAATTTTGTAAGGCAAAGAAGAAGCAAGAAGGATATTTTTTTGGGCATTTGTCCATTGTTTTAACTTTGAAGAAAAGAATAATGAGTAAACTGGACATATCATTGGTAGATGAACCAAAATTGGTGGTAACATTTGAATACGAGTAGGACACTGCAACTCAAAGTCGTTTTGCATGTGGTTTTTTATTTGGACACCTACCGCACCTCTCATATTTATTTGGTTTGGCATTCAATGGCATTGTGGTCGAGTCTTTCTTTAAATCTCGTGCAGGCTGTTTTTTTTATTGGATGGGCCCATCTTTCTTCAGTTAGATCCAACCCCACATCCCTTAAATTTTAGAAAAAGGTACAAATTTTAACCTCTGTTTTAATTATATCTCACAACTACTACCTTCTCTCGCTCTCCACACTCCTCGTTTCCTCCGAACAAGCCCTTTTCTCTCTTCAAGCCTTTTTCACAGGTCTTGAAGAGCCTAAATTTTGATCTTTTTTTGGTTCTTGTTTGTTCATAAATGGCTAAGGTCTACACTTTGGCTGAGGTCTCCCAGCACAACAGCGCTAAGGATTGTTGGTTGGTTATTAGTGGCAAGGTATAATTTCTTGATCTCTCCTATTTCATTATGTTTTCATTGCCTAGATCTTACTCTTTGATCAAATAATCCAACAATAGAAGGAAAAGATTCAATCTTGATTAGTTGTATGTGTTAAAAGATTGATTTTTTATCAAAATTCTGTTATGCTTTCTGTTTTTTTCTTTCTTTCTAGACCACCATCTTTTATTTCTTGTTTTTATGTGGAGGCAGTGGAGTTTTGAAGTGGGATGGGGTATGATCTCATCCTGTTGTCGGGTTGTTTTTGTTGGTTGAGGGCTTGCATTATTTGATTTCATGAATTAATGGGTAGTTTACTTGATTCCCTCAATGTGAATTGCAACATATCTATGTCTTTTTATTAGGAATTGCAGGGAGATAATCTAATAACTTGAAACGTTCAGTCTTGGATTTTGAGACGTGAGTGGTAAATATTTGATTATTAAACACCACAACACTGAAGCTCTGACTTCCTCTTCAGTAGCTTCTGAAACAGTTGGCAAAATTCTTCATTCACTACTGCTAGAATGCAAAATTCTTCTCCTCCGTTATTGAGGGGTGGGGTGGGGGGTGGGGAGTCATTGTCTATGGTTTGTATTATTTGTTGAATATTTGATGGGCACAATTGGTTGCTAATAACTTGAATTTTATTATTGCAAAGTAAAGACCCGCTTCGATCTTACAATTTTTACACTCAATATTTCTTGCACTCACAATCTAGCAACTCTATTTGTTCCTCGCTCTAATTTCTCACTTGTTCACTCACTTGTTACTTGCTTCAACAACATAATTTACTTGAGCACACTACAAACCTACATCGCAAATGAACCACCTATAAATATAGGCCATGATGGAAGAATCTAGCTAAGCATATTTACTACTCTATTCTAAAATGTTCCTTCAACCATTTATTTCTAAAACTACCCTTTCTAGAATATTTCTTGACTTTTTTTTCTCTAGAACACTTATTTTAGAGATCTTCCTTCATTTATTTACAACTCTTTCACTATTCTAGATTCTTTATGAAATATCTTAGATACTAATTAAATTGGTGATGAGTTCTAAACACTCCCCCTTAACACCAACTTAATATGTTCTTTGTTCCCATTGTGAGCTATTCCTGAAACTCTGCAAGCATCATGATGTTCATGCCCTTTGAGAATCTCAACCTCAGTCGGGCTACTGTAGTCCTTACTCTTTGGACCTTCGTCAAAGGTAGTAGTCTCTTTGATATTCACCACCTCAATTAACACTGCATTTATATATTTGTTGTTTGGGCGTTCCGGTCGTGTCTAACTTCTTAGTTGAGGTCGCAGAACTTCTTGGACTCCTTTCAACTCTTCTGGGGTTTCATGTACTCTAGTTTGCCATGGGCTCTTATTATCTTCTTTTGAAGTTATCTCCTTTGTATGTGATTTGTGTTTTTCACATATCTCTTATTCTGATTCTGCCTTGCTTCCTTGTCCTTCTCCTTCAAGTTTAAGTTGTAGCTCTTGCTCTAATTCTTTCGAATCTGGTAGGAGACCTATTTGTACCACCATGTTAGTGCTTCATCAAATACCACATAAGTTGTTTCGGCTGGCATGACATAGATTGACTGTTAAGCTTTTTCCCTCGATGATTGGTATGCTTGTAACCTTCATCTTTCAATATAACTTCATTTTGAAGTTTCACTTATGCCGAGTTGTGACGAGGCACAAACATTGTCTTGCCAACTGGAGTTATTTGCATTTTTGAATGATTTGTGGTCACCTTCAATCGGCTTTATATTCACTCACTCATGCTGATAATCTTTTCTCATCATCTGTCCTGTGATTGGAGCCATCCCGAGTCAACGATCCGATCTCATGTTCATAATCGACCAGTTTCTCACTTAGAGTTGTAAGGGTGAGCTCATCTTCTTCGTTAGAGTGAGAGTGACAAGTTCTTCCTATTGATTGCTTTCTTCAACTACATAAGAGGTTTCGAAATCCCAAGTTTCTTCCTCATCTTGCTTGTTTTGAGTTGAAGTAGCTATGTTACGTTCCACTTTCCTTATACCAAAAGTCTCTCTAGCGTAGTATCCTTTCTTTCCACAATTATTGCACTTCTCCATTTTCCGTTAGTGAAACCTTGGTTCGTCTGCTTGTTATGTCGTGACTTCTTTGATATTGATTCTTATTGTCTTCCCTTGGGGTGAGCTTCTCTCGTTTGTTGAAGAGCACCTTATCTTCATCTTTTATAGAGAGACTTGATAGTGACTTTTCTAAATCATCTTCATTTGCCAACAAAAACTTTTCTAAATCATCTTCATTTGCCAACAAATTTATTAACTTAGATAAAGTTGGTTCTCTGGACCACCCTCGTATGACCATAATTATGCTTTTATACGCCGATCTTAAACTATACTTTGCTGTTGATAATTAGTTTTTGTGGAGCAACAAAATGCTGCATTACTTTGAGTGGTTGGCATAAATTGCACCTTGTATTCCATGTTACCTCACTTTTAATATTCCTTTTTTCCCTTGCTTCTTCTATTTCTTCAAAAAATTCTGTTTACTATTTTACAGGTATATGATGTGACAAAATTCTTGGATGACCACCCTGGAGGTGATGAGGTTCTGATATCTTCAACTGGTAATATATTTTGATATATTCTTTCCTGCAACTAGAATTTTAGTGGTTTTGGTTTCCAGGGAAGGAAAAGTGAAGTTAGCCGGATAGCTGAGGGATAAGTAGGAAATACTTTCATCCAAATTAAGTCAAGCAAAAAGGTGTAGGAAACTTGAGGAAAAAACTTTGTTTTATAATTTTTCCTTCTCTTTTTTTCTTTAGTATGCAAGAAATGACTTCATTTTCCTTATTTTACTGTAAATTCATCAAAAAGTACATTCTTTTGGAGCTTTCGTGGCATCCAACTGAAGCTTTACTGATTTGATGTTGGAGTAATTTCTCAAATCTTAGATGTTGTTATCTGTAATGTAATAAAATCAGAGTTGTAAAGACAAATATCAATCACTTCTATATTTTGACATTACCAACTTATTAGACAAGCTTGATATAAAGAACTACAGTCCTTTAGAAGACAGTGGTGAGCAGTTCCTGATTATTTGTGCAGGAAAGGATGCGACTGATGATTTTGAGGATGTTGGCCACAGCAGCAGTGCTCGAGCAATGTTGGATGAGTACTATGTAGGTGATATTGATTCAGCAACCATTCCGACCAAAACCAAGTATACTCCTCCCAAGCAGCCTCAGTACAACCAGGACAAAACATCAGAGTTCGTCGTCAAGCTCCTCCAGTTCTTAGTTCCCCTGATTATTTTGGGTGTGGCTTTTGGCATCCGCTTCTATACCAAACAGTCAGCAGCTTGAAGATGGAGTTCATGGGGAATACATAGTAAGTGTGGAAGAGAGAAAGCCAAAAAAAATTTAGGGGTGGGGGAGGCTCTTCGTCATCTGAGCAAGTCTTGTTTAAGTTATGGGGATAGTAAGAAACTCTCTTTTGTAGTGATGAACCCTTTCTCAGATTAGATATGGTCTTCTTTTAGTGGTACTCTTAAGATTTTTTGTTTCTGCAGTTGATAGTCTCTGCAAATTGAATTCCCTGTTTGGGTATTGATTTATTAGGATATTTCCTTTTTATTTGGCATGCCTACCTTTTGAAACGAGCAAAAAGCGTGGTTGATATGTTAAATTTTCACAAGATCCTCCAGAATGCTTGTTAACATTACAACAACAACATACCCAGAGTAATCCCATAGAGTGGGGTCTAGGGAGGATAGTGTGTATGCAAACATTACCTCTACCTCAAAGGTGAGGTAGAGGCAGTTTTTGATAGACAAATGTTAACATTCTGTTTTGAGAGTTTGAGACAAAGTACTATCACATATGGCTATGGACACTGCAAACAGGCTTGGACCATTCGAGTTCTTACTGAGAGTTTATGCTTTGTTGTTTTAGACATTGTTGTTATAAAAAGTTCAATCTGTAACTTCTGTTTTCTCCCTTGCCCTTTTTTAGCATTTTCTTCACTTAGTTCGACACGTAGCAGAAGGTTAAATCAGAGTTTATTTCAGAAGTAAGTTGAAAAGTGTTTTCTTTTATCAAGAAAAGAACAAAAGGAGATGTTTACTAAATGGTAAGTGTGTGTTATGGAGTCGCATAAAGTAGATAATAACAAGATAACTAACTGGCTCGTGAACTTTGAAGACATCATTCTATGTTACAGATTATGCAGCATCAAAGTATACAATAATGGATCTTAGATACCACTAATAGAGTCATTATGAGATCATATTATCCAATTACAAGTATCTATTGGGTACTGTTGATCAACAAGGCCACCACTTTTTCCTATGTCTAATTCTTGTGTTCCCCTCCACCCTTTTGTCAGGTTTTGAACACACATATTATAAGATTGGTAATTTGGGTAATCAAGTTCCCTCCCCTTTGGTTATTTTTTTGCACAAGCTTATCAGAAAGTCCAGAAATAAACTGACAAAATGGGTATATCAACAAGAGAGGAAGGTTTACTAAAGTTAGTACATCCTGGTAGGCGTGTTGAGACTCATACAAAGCCTATTATTGCTGCAGAAGTACTCAAGAAGTACCCGAGACACTGCATTGCCCGTCCTGATGTTTTCAAATTTCCCTGGATTGTTGTTCGTCCTGAAGCAGTTCTGCTTCCAGGCAAAGTGTTCTACATAGTTCCTAAGAAGACAATTTATGATCTTTTGAAGGCCAAAAGGCAGCAGAATCAACTTATGCCACTAGCAATCCCCACACTCAACAGTTACGATTCCCACGATTTTACTTCTATAAGTACTAGTCAAACCTCACTTCTCAGGGAAAACCAATTCCTCAAGAATCGTGACAATCGTCCTCTTAATGTTCAGAATTTAAATCTTAAGGAAAAGCAGTCCCTGAAGAAGCATGTAAAGGATAGTGTCTCTGATTGGAGCTCATCGTTCGAGGGAATTAAGTCCTTGAAGAATCCTGGAAAGCATCCCTTTCCTCATCGAAACTCGCTCCCCAAGTCAACAGCAGGAATGACTCCAAAGCACCTTACACATGGTAAGCACCCCAACAGGCTTCAGAATTCTCCTTGGTATGTTGCAAGTTACGAGGATGACGATTTTAAAGAGAATAGAAATGGACCTGATAACTTCTCTCAGCAGTCTATAGATGATTCATCCTTTGACAGTACATTTATGCACTCTAAAAGATATTACAACAGCAGCCATAGCCATTCTCCAGCATCACGAGTAGCCAACCACCGTTGTCAGTATACAATATGTTCCAACCAAGTTGAGCTGAAATCTTGTTTGAGAAAGACAGATAGTGAACGAGGGCATCTCAATCTGAGGGTGACTTTTGGCATGCCAATTGTTACTAAACAATGGAAGAGCTACTTCCATGTTATTTGATGAACTGAATATTACCATTGAGATTCTTAGAATATCTGTGAAAAAGTATTTGAAGAAAGGAACAAAAAGTAGGAAAATTATGAAACAATTTGCCTAAAGAGGGAGCAAAAATATGATTGAGATGAAAGTTAGTTGTCACTTGTCATCAAGGGACTTCTTTTTGTTTATCTTTTGAGAGAGGAAAAGAGTAAAATGAACCATATGGAAAACCTGATAACATCATAGCGATACATCTAGAAAATGAATAAACTTTCATGCATTTAGTCCATTTGTTTGGAGACATGAAAATGAATTGCTGATAGTGAGAAAAGCAAGAAAACCGAAAGAATAGAAAGATAAATCAAAATAAAAACAAGTGTATTAGTCATATGGCTTGTGGAGGTTGGTTTTTCGTATGAGTGTTATAATTGTCCAATTTCTGTAGATGAGATATATCAATGTGTATAACTTAAACATCCTTCTGGAGATCAGAAACTCAAAATTTACGTTACTTGAATGAAAAATGAAAAATCTGACTTGCTAAAGCATATCTCTAAAGCTCATATACAAGATCTGAGGACAGAAAAATAGAGAACAGAGATTACAAGTACTATTTGCACTAGGAGCAACCAAAACCTATCCAAGTAACTTTAAGTAACAGGAAGTTTGTCTGTCATGTTCTTTCAGTTAGCTTAGAATCAGTAACTTGTGACCTCTTTGAGGGGGAACTAGACTCCCTGGAAGAACTATGTCCAAAGATGTTCAACTTCCCAATCTTTTTCGTGAATGTACTCATGAATCTCCGCGAGTTAGATTTTTCCATATTTTTCTTCATACAAACATGATCTTTCTCCAGGTCATTCAATCTCATCCTCATTCGTGCTAGTTCAAGTTTTAGTTCCTTATTTTCTCGTCTTAGAGAAGCATAATTATCCCTGGGAGACATAGCTGCACTTACAGCACCACTATTGATCCTCCACGATTGGTGCATTGGTTTATGATCATCATCAGGATAAGAACAAAATAAGGCATTTCGAAGCCTCATTTGCTCAAAGTAAAGAACCTGTACAATTGATTGGAGTGGGAGGCGTTCATTTTGTGCAGCGTGTGCTCCAGATTCTTGTGAGAGTTTCTGAAAATCAATCAGCTTGCATAGTCTCCTCCTGTCTGGATCTGATAAGGCCTGATGAGCCTGGAGTATCCATGGGATGAACATCGATAATTAGTCAAAAGTAATAACTTAAGGAACTTCCTAAGGAAGCTCTATGACTCGGTTAGTAATATGAACTTGTTAGTTTAGAAGATTCTGTTAAAGGAAACATCCTGAACTCTGTGTAAAGTACTTAATCCTCTTCATAGAAAGTTGTGTATCCATTTTAAGTCATTAGCAAATAGATTAGTAAGAAACAATACCTTATTGTAGTTTGGAACCATATTCATTTAAGTCATTATAAACAGGTAGTTTTCAAAGATAGAAAGAACCATAAAATTTTAAAACTTGTACTCAAACCAATAAAGTTTTCTGAGAAGCACATTTCAAGCAATTGGTTGTACATACTTTGAGGTAGACATCGATTGCTCGATAAAGTCCATCATGGATGGTACGAGCATGTGCTGGTAAGCTTTCAGCAATTGCTATGAACTTGTTCAGCTTTAGGTTTGCATCAGGTGCAATTTCAGCTAGGTAATTGTCCACCAGTTTTGCGACTTTGAATAATGCAGTTTGGGATGGCGAAGTAGGGCTATCAGACTCAAACACTGAGACATCATCCATATCTTCATCACTATCCTCCTGTTGAGAAAAACTAACCAAGATCCTATGCACTGTGTCGACATCAAATAATGTTTCACCAGCATTATGAAAAGAAGGAATGAGAAGATCATTGAGAGTAGCTATGTCTAATTGAGATCCTATCCGCCTCTCAAGATCAAGTCTACAAGCAACTGTGCAATCAAGCATCACAGCACTTCTCAGTAGCCCAAAAAGAAAGGTTATGGGAACAACCAATTTCTCAACAGGCATAAGGCTAACAATCGTCTCGACCACAACTTTTTCATGGTCATTTGAACCTGAAACCACATCAACTTTTGGTTGGGTCGACTGATTCCAGGAAGTGGACTTCTTTGTCAACTCCTTCTGAGCATAGTTAACTAGTGAAGCTGCAATACTTTCAGGCCTAACACCACGACATTTCATTGCTGTTATGACTCGTTGATACAAGTCAATACGAAGAACTGATAAATCCTCTATCCACCAGTCTCCTTCACACTTAGCCTGGCGATTCATATGGAGTCTACCAGAACTACTATATTCCAAGCGCGAGAAGCTTGAAGCAATCTGCTCCACACAAGCTTTAGAGGCTATAGCATCAATGCATCGGATAACTACTTTCAGCTCATCAGCCAAAGGGAGCAGGTTTTCACATTGTTTAAGAACTTCAACACACATTTCAAGATTCTTGCTTACAACAACCTCGAGATACTCTTCAGCTCGGGAACCAAGGTTATTTTTCGAATACTCATCAGTCATCTCAAGATAATCAGACACACAACAAAGCTGAGCAACATTTGCAGCTGTAATCTCAAAGTTAACTCCATAACAAAATTTGGCTGCTAGCTCAAATGATTCAGCTCCACCTGGTAGACTAAGTAGTTCAATCATCGATATATCAGAATCCCTGTGCCCTGCTACAAGCTTCCGAATTCTCCCACTCCTCGATACAAGAGGAAACTGCATCACATGTTTCTATGTTACAAGCCTTACACTGTAGTCTACGAACTTTGAATCAGTTTAGTCATGAAAAGGAACAATATAAATCACCTCCCCCAAAAATAAAGTATTTTGAGCTACAAACAAGACACACAAAAGAGAATTACCTTATGCAATGAAAATGTGCCTCCATCTACTACAATCATTATATCACTGGGAACGTCTCGAAACACCCTAAACAAAGATCAAAAGTTTGATTAGCAATAAGAAGAGAATTAACATGATGTTCTAAAAGCACAAAAATCAAAACACAAACCATTCATTATATCTCTGGTGCCGTGAACACTTGGCGAGCGCCAGCTGAGAGTGATGTTTATCCATGGAGATTAGTGAAAAAACTGCAAGTTTGAGAAACAGAAAGGAAGAATGTGAAGGTTGTTAAAGAAGGCAAAGGGAACAAAGACACAGTGTAAAATATTGATGTTGATCTACTTCTTTGGCCATTTTTGCATCAAACTATTTGTGCTCAAATCATAGATT